GGGGGGGGGGGGGCAAAATTCAAAAAATATTGTTAAGGACTACCTTGAATGATACAGTTGTAGGCCAGACATTGAAATTGAAGAGTTCAGCACTTTATATGATGATGTGTTATTCACAAATCTTCACTGACCAAACAACTAGGAACTTTTTGGAATAAAAGTTAATTATCCTTTGCATTGATATTTATTCACAAACCTCTTTGCAGTGAAGATATGTGCTTTTCACAACAACAATTAGTATTACTGACTGAGTTTTTTTGTTGACATAAATTAAATTGAACAACCCCGACACTCTTCCTCTACAAACACCATGCGTGTGCGGGCCCCAGTCAGGTGAATATGTTCCAGATCAACTACGAAGTGATTAACACTGAAATTACAGGCCGACGAAAAGAGATTTCCACCTTGCCTGTACAAAAAAAATCTTCCATCACTTTTCTAATGGTCCACCCCTAATTGGACGAGTTGGTAAAACAAGGGATACGTTCCGTTGGCACTAATTGACTTTCACTTGACCAAACAAACCTTTCCAGAAAAACAAAGTTTCACCTAGAACATACTGTTTTTGTTAATCTTCTACGTTCTCAGGATCTTATTCGAGTAGCCCATTAAATATCTTATAGCCAAATCTTGATTGTGTAACATTTAATAACTACTGTTTATTATAGATTTAATATGTGTTGCTAGTCATCAGTTCCTCCGTGAACCCGACAAAGACTAGTGTTGTAATATATCTTTGTTTTACTTTATTCATCGCGTCAAAGGAACCTCACCTACTTAGCTTTCTAGTCTATTTATGAATTTAATTGATGTATTAAATTCTTGTTATTATTCAGTATAAATGTGGCATATGAAACATACGAAAGTTTCACCTCCTGAAAAAAAAAAATTCCAGCCATCAGGTAAAAAAAAAAGATTTCCACCTTACATGTACAAAAAAAGAATCTTACATCTCTTAAAATCCCCACCATCTCTTTTCTAATGATCCATCCCTAATTGGACGCGCTGGTAAAACAAAGGATACGTTCCGTTGGCCCTAATTGACTTTTACTTGACCAAACAAACCTTTCCAGTAAAACAAAGTTTCACCTGGAACTTACTGTTTTTGTTGAATCTTCTACGTTCTCAAGATCTTATTTGAGTTAGCTTGCGTTTTTCGTGACAAAAACTTAACCCTCACCATCGGAATCTCCTGATCTTAAATCATTTAGCCAAGTTATACTTCATTAAGTGGATAACAACTCTGATTGGGACTGGTTGCCAAGTAAACACCTTTTGTTAGATAATCCGTGTAATGAATAACAATGAAATTACAGGCCAACTTGTCTGGACTAGTTTGATCTTTCCTCGTAATGCTAGCCCGTTAGGTATCTTAGCCAAATCTTGATTGTGTAACATTTAGTAACTACTGTTTATTATAGACTTAATATGTGTTGCTAGTCATCTGTTCCTTCGAACCCGACAAACTGACTATTGTTGTAATACATCTTTGTTTTACTTTATTCATCGCGTCAAAGGAACCTCACCTACTTAGCTTTCTAGTCTATTCATGAATTTAATTGATGTATTAAATTCTTGTTATTATTCAGTATAAATGTGACATTTGAAACATACGAAAGTTTCACTTTCTGAAAAAAAAAATTCTAGCCATCGGATAAAAAAAAAGATTTCCACCTTACATGTACAAAAAAAATCTTGCATCCCTTAAAGTCCCTCTCCGCCCCCCAATGCCTTTTTTTCATGGTCCATCCCTAATTAGGAAGTGTTGGTAGAACAAAGGATATGTTCCGTTGGCCCTAATTGACTTTTCCTTGACCAAAAAACCTTCCCGGAAAAGCAAAGTTTCACCTGGAACATACTGTTTTTGTTAATCTTCTACGTTCTCAAGATCTCATTCGAGTTGGCCCGCGATTTTTTTCGTGACAGCAACCCTGTCAGTCGGAATCTTCTGATCAAATCATTTAGTTATACTTCATTAAGTGGATCTGCTCACATCTGGTTGAGATTGGTTGCCAAGTAAACACCTTTTGTTTGATAATCCGTGTAATAATGTTTGTACGCTAATTAGTTTTATTGCAAAACTCGGACGCAATTTTGAGTTAATATACTGAAAAGGCGGGACAAATTAGTATTGTTAATTATTCCTACAAGAAGACTTGAAACGACAACTTATGTAATGACAAAGGTTGACCAGTACTTTTTGAAGTAACGATAGTGTGAATCAGCGATTTATATGCTTCAATACATTCTTTGCGATCTTTATATCTCTCTGACTATTACGTTTTGACTGGACACTAACTGGATGGACTTGAGTAAATTTTACGGTTAAACCTGATGTTTGGATTACGCGATAACCTCGAAGGAAAATATGATAATATTTCTCACAGCCAAT